GAAATTACAAAGATCAGGGCAGAAATCAATGCGATGGAGACTAAGAGAACAATACAAAAAAAAATCAATGAAGCCAAGAGTTGGTTCTTTAAAAGAATAAACAAAATTGACAAACCCTTAGCCAACCTTATCAGAAAAAGGAAAGAAAAGGCCCAAATCCATGCAATTAGGAATGAAAAGGATAAAATTACAACGGACCCAGCAGAAATCCAGAAGATCATCAATACCTACTTTGAGAACCTATACGCCAATAAGATGAAAATCACAGAAGAAATTTATTCATTCTTGACACTAGAAATCTATAGCTCCTCCTTTGTTCTTAATGTCTACTTAGAAGTGTTTCTATTTTATTATATTTAAATTTTTCAAAGAATCAGGTTTTGGCTTAAGTTTTCTCTATTAACATATTTTTGCATTCACAGATGTCTGCTCTTTTATGTCTTCATCCTACTTTCTTGAGGTTTAATTTGCTCTTCTTCTGGTTCTTAATGATAGAAGCTTAGAGAATTGATTTCAGAACTTTCATGATTTCTAATGTAATCATTGAATGCTGTCAGTCCCCTCTAATAACTTCTGTAGCTGCATCCCACACATTTTGATATGCAGTGTCATTTTAATTCAAACTAATTTTATGGAGTTCCTTGCGACACCCAATGGGTCAATGTCTGCTCAGGTTGACTTGGGTTGGAAAACTGCAAATTCCAGAGCCAGAATGCCTTGAAAGATGGGATGTTTTACCAACTTGAGCAGAGATGGATCTTATGGGGAAAACAAGGAAGCTCCTGGGCGCAAGGACCCAAGTTTTGTTTTGTTTTTTGGTACCAGAGATTGAACTCTGGTCCTTGCACTTGTGCAGCAGGCAGCGAAACCACTGAGCTAAATCTCCGGCCCAAGGACCCAAGTTTGATCCCCGGTACCAAAAAAACGAAAAAACAAAAAAACAAGGAAGCTCCCTACGGGACAATCAGATAAAAGTTAATTATTCAGCCAAACTATCACCATGCCTTGCTAACCTAAAACAAACTTCTGTGCTCAGCAGACTCTGCCTTTATTGTTCCTCAATAAATCTGGGAGTTTGAGTCAGTTCAAGGCTCCATTTTGGTGGGATCCCCTGATCCTCCTTGAAGAAATTCTCTGTCTCTCAAGTTGTCATTCTTCTTTCTATTAGGGTTGGCTGGCCTGAACCCAGCAAGTGGTGCTGGAACAGGGACCTGAAGCTGGTGTGAGGTTGAGTGAGGAAGCCAAAGGAAAGTGAAACTGGAAGAGGAACTTGGTAAGTGGATCTTCAATTAGGGACTTTCTGAGCCTTTGGAACGATTTTTCAGTCAGGGTAACAATGGTGTGGTCATTAACAACAGAGCAAAAGTATTACATTAAGGTTTTGTGCCAGCTGTTGAAGGCAGCTGATGCTTTGATCACTGAAGAACAGCTTGTTAAGCTTTTAGAGCTTGTGCTTGAACATAATCCATGGTTTCCCAACCATGGTACCCTTAGACCTAGAAATATGGGATAGAGTGGGGGGAAATCTGAGGAGGGCTCAAAGACAGCCTGACAACATGGGGCCTTGTCCTCACTGCCTTGGTCTCAGTTAATCAGGAGAATGAAAGTCAGGAGGCTAATCAGTCAGCTATCAAGCCCTCTGACTGCTAGCTTAAAAGATCTTGAGCTATGGCCAACTTCTTTGCCTTCATCACCACCGAATCTATGGCCCAATCTGCACTTACAGACTGCCTGAGGGAGGCAGCTGTTGAGGGGGAGATTACAGCTTTCCCAGTGCAAATACAAAATGGGAACAGGTTACATACCCCCCTCTACAGTTTGAAGTCTATAAAGAGATCAGAGAGAGTATCAGAGAAAATGGGCTAACTAGCCCCTTTACTAAAAGGCTGATTATGCTTTAGGCAGTCAGTATCACATGACCCCCTGGGATTAGAGTACCTTAGTGAAATGGGAAAAACAAAAGACAGAGCAGAGACCATTGGTTTCAAGGCTGACAGTCTAAGACTTGCTCCTCCCGCTAAACTCATGAAGGTCACTCTGCCTGGAAGATGAACTGCTGAAACACAGCTGCCTACTCCCTATGTCTTAAACTGTAAGGAAAGTGAAAAAAGGAACATTACCTCCACCTCCCTTCCCTTTGCCAAGTTCTGCTTCTGAATAATTCTGCTTGCTGTCCAGCCCTGGCTAAGGAACAGATAAATAGGGCCGGGGATTTAGCTCAGTGGTTTCATCGTCTGCTGCGCAAGCGCAAGAGTTCGATCCCTGGTACCAAAAAAAAAAAAAAAAAAAGAACAGATAAATATGAGAACAAAAGGAGAAACAGGGCTCAGACTCTGGAAGGTGACTTCTGCTGGGAGCGTTAGCTAGCGAATAAACCTGCTTCCCTTCATTTCTCTGAGTGCCGCTCACTTCCTTGGTCTGCCTGCCCTCTGAGTGCCATTTCATTAGCAGTGCTTGCTTAGAAGCCACTCATTATTTGCTGTGAAGAACTGAGTTTGATGATCTTTGTGAAGAACACGAGGGAGTACAAATCATTGCTTAGATGTTACAAGGGAGAGGGTTGTACACCGTGGTTCAAGCCCAGCTCTTGAACAATGCACTCTTCTACGTGGGCCTGGGATGGCATTCCTGCCTCCAGCCAGCCCCCAAGGTCATTTGTGGAGATCAAGCAGGGCCCAACAGGAGCCCTTAGTGCAATTTGTTGACCGATTAAAAAGACCATCCAGAGGCAGGTTGTTGGGGACTCACCCACATGGTTACTAGGAACTAGAAATTATGATTGTTGGGGGCTGGGGCTACATGACCCAGGCCCAGTGACCTGAGGTTGATGCACCTTGTCTCCATAGCAAGGGACACACTGAAAATGGTGTCTCTTAGCTTCGAGAGGAAAATCAGTGACTGTGGCATTCTTGAGGGAAGATAGCATCTACTGAGGCTCTTGTAAAACTGCAGGAAAACAAAAAGAACTAGTTTTTCATTAACTTGGTCCCCTATTATGAAATTTAACCTGTTCCTTTCTCACACACTCCCCTTATAAAAGTTTAACCTGCTCTGTTTTTCAAACTACCTTTTCAACTGTTACTGTTCCTCCAAATGATGCTCAACTCCTTCCCCCTGCACCTTTCACTTTCTAATAAAAGTGGTTCAACCATGGAGATTGTTGAGATTGTCCACTAGAGGTATATCTCCTCCAAGTCCCCTTAAACTTTGAAATTTGTCTCTGTCTTTCTTTATTCCTTGTCAGCCCCTCAATAGGTATCTGTGGGTCTGATCAGTCCCCTGCATAGGTTAGCCATTTACATGTCATAGATATTATTTTGCTTCAGTTTGCCTATGAAAATGCTAAAAGGAACTGCCAGGATGTTATGAAACCTATTTGTGTTTGAGCTCAGGCTGTGGGGGATCTCATAAAGGCATGTCAACTGGCGAGCACAGAGACACATAAAGCTAGGGTTTTTGCTGCCGACATTCAGCCTCCTAATAAAGGGAAAAATATTACTTGTTCTCAAAGTGGAAAACCTGGTCATCTTAACAAGGATTGCAGACAAGGGCCAGGGATTTATCTTAGTGGTGCTATGCCTGCCTCACAAGCGCAAGGTTCTGAGTTTGATCCCTGTACCCCCCCCAAAAAAAAAAAAAAAAAAGATTGCAGACAGAGGACAGGGGAATCTTCACGTGCTGGGCCAATTAATACTTCTCAGTCCCCAGGCCTTTGGACTAATTAATGCCATTCTAAATATGATAAGGACAGCAACCCTCTCTTCAGGAAACTCCCAATGGGGCCTTCCCTGGGCCCCACAAATAATGGGGGTGTTGGCCTTTGATCAGATGGGAAAACAACGATCCTTTCTCTCTGCATGGACACTCAGGCACACATCAGAATGGAGTTGCTCACTAGAATCAAAGTTAAGCTGTAACAGGGAAAGGTCGATCAAAAGGTCACAATGGGAGTCTTTGGATCCCTTCCAACTGGGACCATAGGACTCATTTTAGGAAAATCTGGATTAAATGCTGAAGGGGTAACAGTAGTTCTGGGTACTGTAGATGCAGATTACCAAGGAGAAGTTACAGTATGAATGCAGGGAAAGGGAATCCAAATCTTTACTTCTGGAATGAAAATTGCTCAACTCCTCCTTTTGCCATACTGGGTTCCTCGGTCTAAAGAAAAGGTTAGGGGAGATCAGGGATTTAGTAGCACTGGAGATGGAGGGGTCTGTTGGGCCTAGCCCATCATAGCTTCTCAACCTACTCTGACTGTTCAGATAAAAAATAAAAACCTTCCTAGGACTGCTAGACACAGGAGCAGATGTTACTATTATTGCAAAAAAAACAATGGTTCCAAACTTGGCCTTGCCAAAGAACCTCCTCTGGGCTGGTAGGCATTGAAACCCAGTCTTTTGAGCTCCAGAGCAGTGCTATTCTTTCTGTAACTGCCCCAGAGGGAAAGACAGAGCTCATCCAACCATATATTGCTGATATACCTATTAATCTTTGGGGCAGAGACCTGTGACAACAGTGAGGTTTTTCATTAGGTAATCCACCTTTTTCATAGGTGCCACTGCTGTTACTCCCCTTGCTCTTACCTGGCTCACACAGGAGCCAATGGGTTGAGCAGTGATCGCTAAAAGGGGAGAAATTACATCAAGCTCACCTCTTAGTACAGGAGCAGTAACAACAGGGACGTATACAACTTTCCAGAGTTCTTAGGATTCCCCTATTTTTGTCATACCAAAAAAGTCAGAGAAACGGAGACTACTGCATGACCTCCATACGATCAGTGTAGTCATTCAACCTATGGGGCTTTGTGGCCTTGGCTTCCTTCCCAATCTATGATTCCCCAAGATTGGCCATTGATAGTGATTGATCTAAAAGATTATTTCTTTATCAGTCCTTTGGCTCCTCAAGATTGTAAAAGGCTCACTTTCACCTTTCCTTCTATCAACAACTCAGCTCCCTCCCAGAGATTTCATTGGAAAGTGCTGCCCAGGGTATGTTTAAAAATCCTACTATATATCAAACTTTGTGGCGCAGGCACTATCACCAATCAGACAGCAGTGGCCTCAAGCAATTATTTTTCATTACATGGATGGTATCTTGTTGAGTAATGCAGACCCCCTAGAGCTTTTAAAGCTATATCATCAACTGTTAGAACAAGCCCAAAGTTTCAGACTGATTGCAGCACCTGATAAATACATGACTTGGGTTACATTTTAACAGAGTGTACTATCAAGCCCCAAAAGCCCTCTGTTAGGAGGGACCAATTGGCTGCTTTAAATGATTTGCAAAAAATGCTAGGTGATATTAATTGGCTCCGTCCTGGTTCAAGGATTCCTACTCACCAATTGATATACCTATTTAATATTCTTTGGGGTAATCCTGATATGTCCTGCCCTCGTACCTTCACCCCAGAAGCTGAAAAGGAATCACAGCTAGTGGAACAAGTTATTCATTATATAGATCCACAATTTCCTATTGAACTGTTTCTTTTTCCCACTCCCTGCTTACCTACTGGACTTATTGGACAACTGACTCTTACATTAAAAAGTTTAAAATGCCTCTTTTTGAGCCATAGAGGCCATAAAAACCTCACATGTTCTGCTAAGCTCATAGCTTCTCTTATTGTCATGGGTAGAAAGAGTTAATCAGTTATCCAGTTATGATCCTTAGGTTATTTTTCCCATTCCTTGCAGGGAATTTGAAACTGATTCAACAGTCTGTGTCACTACCATTTATGCTAGCTGATTTTACTGGAGAAATCCTTGGATCTTGGCCTGCTGATAAGCTTTCTCCACATATTTTCGTATTTCTTTGTTTTCTTTTTGACTCATGTGGTATTTAGAAGCAGTTGAATTTTCAAATAATTTTCCCCCAGATATCCAGCTTGATTCTATTTTGTATGATTTTTACTTCTTTTGACCTTGATGTGGTCTTTTTATGTCCAAGAATATGTGAATATTCCAAATGCACTTTAACACTGTATTATGTGTTTAATGTTACTGAACTGTTCTGTGTCAAATAAGTCAAATTAGGTGATAGTGTTGTTCAAGTATTCTACATCTTACTATTTTTTGTCATCTTGTTTGATCATTGACAAAGACAGGAATATTGAGCTTTCCACTACAATTGTAGTTTGTTTTTTTAATCAGCTTTTGCTTCATAACCTGTTTTTAGGTGCATGCATATTTCAGATTGTACATCTTCCTGGTATATATTTGGTGATATTCCATACTATAAATTCTTTTAAAATATTAATTTAGCCAGCCCAGCTTGTTTTAATTAGTTTTAGTATGATATGCCTTTTCTCATCCCATCCTTGGGCTTTTAACTTAACTCTGTATTTAAGGATTTCCTGTAGATAGCATACAATTGAGTTTTGCTTTTAAAAACCTGGTAATCCCAATTTTAAGGGATACTTAGATCATTTACATCTAGTGTAATTACTGATATCATTGGATTAAAGCCAACCATCATGCTAATTGCTTCCTTATTTGATGCGTTATCTGTTCAATATTTTTGTTCGGGTTTAAGCAATATTTATGTTTCTCTTTTACTTCTACTACTGGTTTATGATTGAACCAAACTTTTTAAATGGTTGCTGTAGGTCTTAAAATATGCTTCTATAATTTTTCAGTCTGCCTTCAAGTATTATGCCAATTCATGCAGAGTATAAAATTATACTTCTGATTACTATCTGCATTGTTTTGTGGTATTGTTATAAATACATACTGGTTTTATATATGATATAAGCTCATAAACCTCATTCCTACTTTTGCTTTAGTGGACATATTAGAATGTATAAAATAAAAATTATATCTTCATTTTAACCATTTTCAAACTTCTTTATTTTGGTAGATCCAAATCTATTATTGGTATGACATTTCTTCTGTCTGTAGAAAGTCCTTTAATATTTCTTGTAGTGCATGTCAGTTACTGATGAATTCTACCAACTTTTATTTGAAAATGTCTTTTATTTTGCATAATTTTGAATAACTCTTCATAGGGCTTAGCATGTTTGATTGGGAGTACTATAATTTTTTCAAAATGTTAATGATGTCACTGCACTGTTTTCTCCTTGCATAATTTTTTTTTTTTTTTTTTTTTTGGTACCAGGGATCAAACTCAGGTCCTTGCACTTGCAAGGCAGGCAGCTGAACCACTGAGCTAAGTCCCCGGCCCTCCTTGCATAATTTCTGATAAGAAGTCTGTTATTTTTCTCACCCCTCTACCAGCAATTCTTCTAAGATTGTCCATTTTTAGCTGTTTGGCAATGTGTCTAGGATTACATGTTTTTGTTTGTTTTAAATCTTGCTTTAGTAGTTTGAGTTTCTTGGATCAAGGTTAGGTCTCATTGCTTTTGAAAATTTAGCTATTATCTCTTCAATATTTTTTCTTCTTTTTTCTCCTCTCCATCCTTGGTTTCCAACTATACAAATATTAGATTCCACAGTGTTAGCCAATTCCTGTGTGCTTTATGATTTTCTTCACACTTGCTTTTGTGTTTTAGTTTTGGTGATTTCCACTGACCCACTACATTCAAGTTCTCTGACATTTTTCTCAGCTATGTGGAGCCTAATCATGAGTCAGTCCTTCAAAAGCATTCTTTACAATAACATTTTTTAGTATTTTCTATTTGACTCTTTATTAATTTCCACTGAACCCCCCACCTGCATCTGCTCATGTGCATTGTCTGCCCTTTTCACTAAAAACCTGAGCACACCATTTATGTAAAATTCCCTACTAGGTCTAAAATAGGTCATCTCTAAGTGTGATTTTTAAGTCTGCTGTCTCTTAGCAGAGGGTTCTTCCTTTTTAAAATCAAAAGCCACATAATATATACAGAACAGTAGACACTGAAGAAAACAATATTTTTGCCTAAAAACTGGCACACCATTTTGCTATGATAGTAGGTTGGAAGGTTGAATTGATATGGCCAGGAATTCGGTATTGAGTTTGTTTTTGTGATAGTTATTTGAAGTGTACCACTGGTTTCAAACTTCTCTTGTATGACCTTTTGCTTAGGGTGGGTGTTGGAGTGCTGAAGGATTTTTCCCGGTATTCCTGCTGCACCCTCTGTCCCTGTGCACTTGTGTAGTTGAAGAATTCTCTGTCCATGTTCTCCCCTTTTCAGTGAAGCCTGCTGTTGCTTGTCACCAGAAGCAGTCTAGCCTGTTTGGGGTGGGGGGGGGTGTCCTCTGTTGTCTTGGTTTTGTCTCAGAGATTCTGTGCAATTTCAGGAGCAGAAATACACTCCATTAAATGAGATATAAACTCTCTTTTCTTGGCTGTGAACCAAAAAATCAGGTAATCTTGCCATCTTGTGAGCAATCCACATAGAGGTGAGAGAATTTTAGCAGAGGGGTGGGACACACCTATAATTCCAATACTCTGGGAGGCTGAGACAAGATGATTACAAGTTTGAGCCCAACCTGGGCAATTTAGCAACTTAGTGAGATTCTGTCTTAAAAAAGGGGGACGTGGTTGGGGATATAGCTCAATGTAAATGGCCTAGTTCAATCCCCAATACTGCAGGGGAGGAGAGGAGGCAATGTAAAGGCCTTCTGCAACCCAGACCTCAGTCTCTATGTCTTTTTTGTGTGTGTGTGTGGTACCAGGGATGGAACTCGGGACCTTGTGCTTGCAAGGCAGGTGCTGGAACCACTGGGCTAAATCCCTGGCCCCTCTATGTCTTCTATTTATGTGGACTGAGAAATAGTTTTGGTTTAAACAACTGTGAATATTCTGATATTTAGAAATTACAGCATCCGAATAGATAAAACCATCATGGGCTCTCATTGTTTTCCCTTGGAAGTGATGAGAGCAAAGAAATACAGCAGAAGCCCCAGGTTTGGGATGATAATGTGCTTCCTGAACCAGCACCTCGGATGCCAGGTCAAGCCAGGGCTTTGTTCACCCTACTCATCCATCTGACAAAACCCCTGCTGCAACTAATGCTGCTGAATTACACTATGATGTCCTAGGCTTCTGCTTCTGAGGCGTACTGAAACCTAAAGAAATTTCACACAGAAAGATAAAGTTGCTGACACCTAATTCATCTGTATTCTCAAAAGCGTAGAAATTTTGAAAATTAACTTCAGGTTTTATTCTTTAATTTAGGCCAGAATGCCATGTAATGAAATAGAACAACTATATCATAGGTTCTTAAGGGATTAATAGCTCAGTGGTTGTTTATTGCTTGGGTGAAACTGGTATCTGTTCATTGTAATTTTTTTTCCAGTACTGGGGATCGAACTCAGGACCTTGCACTTGCAAGGCAGGCATGGCACCATTGAGCTAAATCCCTAGGTTCTGTTCATTGTAATTTTTAAAAATAAACTACACAAAGAAAAATTTTGCTTGCCAGAGAAAACTTTTGTATACATAATGAGTAATCTTTCACAAACTATCTATAAGCATGTATTTGAACGTATTTCTATACAAATTTAACTGGACATTATGGAGGTACAATCTGCATTTTCTCTAAACACTGTGTATGATCTTATACTATCATCTTAGATCTATTTCTTATTTTTGTAGTTCCCTAGTATAGAAACAACTTTATCCAAACATCTGGTGACATTTATTTCTAGTTTAAAAATTAGTATTATGTAACCCTTTTTCACTATTAAAACTGCTTAATCATAAATTATTATTCTGACTTCCAGGTAGGTATGCACATTTTACTTTTGATATAGTCATGCACTATGTAATGTTTTGGTCAGTAATTGCATATATAATGATACTCCCACAAGACTATGATTTAGTGAGGTTGTAGCCTTCTTAGTTTGTGTTAAGTACAGTGTGATATTCACACAACGACATTTCTCAGAATGTGTCCCTGTTGGTAGTTAACACATTTCTATATATTCAGATTTTGGTATCTATTGGATAAACTTGTCTTTTTCACTCCCACCAACAAAATACATGTTCTTGAAGACAGAGACCAGTAGGTAAATGGCAATACTGTGAGAAAAGGCAGGGGAGGAGAAAGTTAGCCTTTCAAAATTGTCATAAACCCTGGCTAAGGTTTGGATTGGGCAAAGCCTACCTTTAGAAATCAGTCAGATAAATGAAGTTTAATGGAAATACAGACAGTAAAACACCAAGCATTATAACTTTGACATTTATTTAAAACTATTTGTCATTAGTAATCACTTCTGAAACTTTCCAAATGTTACAGTAAAACTCTGCCTTCATACAGAGGGCAGGAGTAAAAATGTAATTATGTAAAATGCAGCATTCCATTTTTTGCAGCCATCCAGAAACACTGTTAATGTTTGTATTGTCATTTAAAGTGCATACATGTACAGACACACACACACACACACACACACACACTTAAACTGACTGTGTACTGTGTAGAAAGAGACCACATATTAAGAAATTCAGCTCATCCTTCCTTAAGATGGGACAAATGATGGGAACCAATTCGAACAGGGTTACAACCAAATTCATGTTACTTCAGATTGCAATATTGCTAGGTGCTCTACATTCAAATAATATTTACTTGAAGTAATATTGAGAGTATTTGCATAATTTCTCCTCCAAATCCATTCTTAAATGTTTTGAAATTAGCTGAATAAAATTTTGAAATATTATACATTTACACACTTTAGTCATTTAGGAGAAAATATTGAGTACCTATTAGGAGTTACAAAATGTCACGGTTTTATAGATTCAATGGTGAGCAAAGTCCCTTTTCTCATCAAGCTTACATTCCATTGGATATAGAGTTAGGCATGTTTATCACTGTAATTTTGTTAAATTCCTGACCATACTCATATTTATAAGGCCTAGCTCCTGTGCGGTAACTTATTAAAGTTCTGACAAAATCTCTTATGGAGCCCCTCTCATCAAACATCTCTGTTGTGTGGCCTCCTAACCATCACAGCTGTTGAAGTTGGAAGAAACATTACATTTTCATTTTTAAAAAATATTTTCTACTAAAAGAACTCTAGTTCTAGCAAATTTTCAGCTCCCATTGGAGGACTTCAAAACAGACCAGGTCATCATTTTACAAAACTTTATTTCTGTGTAGATTCTCTGAGGAAGAATAAACCTTACTATACTCTTCACTTTTATAGAATTTATCACCACTATGGACTCTTTGGTGAATTAGAAGCCCCGAGCTCCAACGGAAACCCTTCCCACATGCATCACATTTATAGGGTTTCTCCCCTGTGTGGACTCTCTGATGAGCCTGAAGGTTTGATCTCTGACTGAAGCCCTTCCCACACTCCTCACATTTGTAAGGTTTCTCCCCAGTGTGGACTCTGTGATGGGCCTGAAGACTTGAGTACCCACTGAAACCCTTACCACACTGTTCACATTTATAGGGTCTCCCTTCTGCATGGATCCTCTGATGTGCTTGAAGGCGTGAACTCTCACTAAAGCCCTTTGTACACATCTCACATTTGTATGGTTTCCCTCCTGTGTGGACCCTCTGATGGGCTTCAAGGCGTGAACTCTGACTAAAGCCCTTCCCACACATCTCACATGTATATGGTTTCACTCTAGTGTGGACTCTCTGATGACCTTGCAGATATGCTCTCTGACTGAAGCCCTTCCCACATACCTCACATATATATGGTCTCTCTCCAGAGTGGACACTCTGATGACTTTGAAGGTATGATCTCTGACTGAAGCTCTTACCACACTCGTTACACTGGTACGGCTTCTCACCTGTGTGGACTCTCTGATGGGCCAGAAGAGTTGAGGCTTTACTGAAGCCTTTACCACATTCTCCACATTTATAAGGTTTTTCTCCTGTGTGAACCCGCTGATGAATTTGAAGATTAAAGCTCCAACTGAACCCCTTCCCACATTCCTCACATTTGAATGGTTTTTCTCCAGTGTGAACTCTCTGGTGGCCTTGGAGGTGTGAACTGCGACTGAAACCTTTACCACACTCCTCACACTTATATGGTTTCTCTCCAGTGTGTACACGCTGATGGCCTTGAAGGTAGGAATTCCGACTGAAGCCCTTCCCACATTCCTCACATTTGTATGGTTTTTCCCCAGAGTGCACTCTCTGATGCGCTTGAAGGTATGAACTCCGACTGAATCCCTTATCACACTCCTCACATTTATAAGGTTTTTCTCCTGTGTGGACTCTCTGATGAACATTAAGAACCGATCTGTGACTGAAGCCTTTGCCACACACATTGCATTTGTATGGCTTCTGCCCAACATTGACTTTCTGATGATTTTTAAGTTTTGAACTCCAGTCAAAGCCATTTCCACACTCCTTATACGGTTTTTCTCTAATGTGAATCTTCTGGCGGTCTTGAATATATGAATTTTGACTAAAGTTATTACTGTACCCATAGTGTTTATATGGTTGTTCCCTGGGGTGGGTTATCTGAAAGTCCTGAAAATGTGAGGCCAGGCTGAAGTCATTACCACACTCCTCAGAATTACAGGGATTCACTTCCATGTGTACTCTATGCTGACCATTAAGATGTGAACTACAAAGTAAATCCTTTCCGTACTCCACATTGGTGTATAGTTTCTTTGCAGTATGGAAATTCTGATGAACCTGAAGACATGAATTCCGATTAAAAATGTTCCCATTCTCCTCATATTCACAGGATTGTTCCCTAGTATGGACCCTAAAAATATTAAGGTCTAAGCTACAACTGAAGGCTTTCTCATAAACCTTGCACTTCCGGGATATTTCTCCTGTGTGGGCGAGTTCATAAGAGCTCAGAGAGGAGTGCTGCTTGACGTTCTTGCCATACTCACCACATGTGCACGATTTCTCTGTACATGTTCTCTGATGGGACTGCAGATGTAAACTCTCAATGTCATCTTCACCTCTTTGAACACTTTGATGACTGTGAAGAACTGACCTATAATTACAGCCCCTTCCACATGGACTGTATATACAGGGTTTCCCTTCTAGGTGCAGCTGCTGATGAACGACAGAGCTGTAGTGGTCACTGAAATCTTCTCTATACTCAGTACCTGGGGAGGGTTTCTGCTCTGCCTGAATTGAGTTCTGATTAAGAAATGATACGTCCATGAGATCTTCTCCACAGTCATTGCAATTATAGTTTCTTTCATTTCTGTGTACTCCCAGATTATCATTGTGATGTGAGATCCAACTGATATTCTTACACGTACAGAAATTATTTTTCATGGAAATTTGTTGACATTTACACTGAGGATTATGGGGCTCAGCCAGATACATTTTCCTCCAAGAGTGCTGGGCTCTCAAGCATGGAAACTCTTGATTTTTTACATAATTGGAATTATCCACTACATGAGTCACTTTGTAGTTCCCATCTTCAGAAATCTCGATTGGCATTCCTGCCCAGATCTGGTAGGGAGAATCACCTTGCTTCTGCAACTGAAAATTCTTTCCCTGAAAGTTGTTCATTGAATCTTGACAGCTGGCTAACTTGACGGCACCTTGTTTCCAGGTCTGATGAGAGGAAAGCTCTTTGGGGGAAAAGTAACTTAATCCCACTTCTTGAATACACTCCTTCTTATGTTGAATGTTGCTTCCTGTAAGGATAAAGAGAATTCAGACAAGTGCACAAATGAATGCTTTATTCAGAGATTTCAAAATTTTACACTTAGGTTGTAACATGAAACTTGAATGAACAGAAGAAAATTCACGTCACCAGTTTTAAGAATTCTTAGAAAAATGCCTCTTGTTTGGCTACATAGCTATGTAAGCATGATGGACAAAATTCAGGATATCTGTATGCATCAAAATCAGGGTTTTATAACATAACCACTAGATAGCAAATATGGTGATCCCATTCAAAAGGCCTAGTAAAAGCAAAGCATGTTATTATGGGTTTATCACAGGTTGCCTAAAGATCCAAAGGATAAAACAGAAGGGAATATTCTCAAATTGTAAAGAATAGTAGTAGTTGTAAGTGGACAAATGATTTTTGTCCTGATAATAACTTTTTCTCTTTTCTTTAGCACATGGACACGATAATGTTTTTGTTTGTGAGGCAGTTATGTGTTAAATGCTGTGCTGAAGATGGTAAACACAAACCTTTAATCTATGCTTGAGACATGATTATACCCTGTCTCTAACAAGGTATTTATCTTCATGAGAATAATCTCTTCTATGTCACTGTAAACCATCATCACTTTTAACTCCTTTGAAAAGATATTTTACAATTACCAAGGAGCATGGTGTAGATCAGAATGTGGAACAGTGTTATAGGATTCAACTCAAAAAACATCATTAAAAAAACCTAGAGGCTGCCGGGGATTTAGCTCAGTGGTACCACTGCCTGCCTTGCAAGCCCAAGGACCCGAGTTCGATCCCCGGTACAAAAAAAAACAAAACAACCTAGAGGCTGAGGAGGGTAAGGACAGTTAAGTTTCCTGACACCTATCAGGTATCCTCTGAGGGATTTCATCAGTCATGAATACAGCTCAGCGAACACTGACTCTGACTTGTACCATTTTACTGGGAAATTAACATTTTGGGAATTTGAGGAACAAAAAAAAAAAAAAAAGCTGAAGACAGGCATATTTTGGTAGAAATGGCTTGCTGCCTAGTTATTAAAGCTTCATTGGTAGGCAGATAGTAGATCTTTATTGCCTGATGAGAAGTATACTTTCTGAAGACAACTGGTTAAGTACATTAAGTTTCTGAGGTATCCAAAAAACAGGTAGTGTGCAGCACATATACCAGAAAAGAGGTAGTAAAAAAGGAATTTTTTTATGTCTATTACCCTCAAACACCGTAATTCTTTTTTTTTTTTGGTACTGGGGATCAAACTTGGGACCTCGCACTTTCGAGGCAGGTGCCGGAACCACTGAGCTAAATCCCCGGCCCCAAACACAGTAATTCTTAACTTATTTGTGTGTGTCTGTCTCTCCACAGCTAATGTGTTATCCACAGGATAGGCACTTTGAATGGTGCACTGCGTTATGCTCGCTGCCTCCAACCCAGTCTAGGGAATAGTAGTTGCTCAATAAACACAGATTGATGACTAAATAATAGTCTGAGTCATTCTCACTCAGTGAACTAAAAGGGTATGCAAATGCAAGTTATATTTTTTGGGAGAGGAACTGGTGAAGGTAACTTTGCTGGAGGCTGCTAGGCTGTGTGAGAAGCAGGCCTGCACTCAGGGTCATGCTGCTGGTGAGAAAAGCAAAGCTCACAAGGATTTCTTGTGAATGAAGTGAAAGCCAGTGATCTAAAAGACCCATAGGCAGGAACTATGGATCGAGTAGTTTAAATTTTGTTTGGTCCCATCCCACCCCACAGTAATAGGGATTGAACTAGTTCCTTCACAGTGAGCTACATCTCCAGCCCTTTTTTTATTTTTTATTTTCAGACAAAGTCTTGCTAAGTTGCTGAGTTACCCAAGCTGGGTTTGAACTTTTGATCCCCTTGCCTCAGCCTCCCAAAGTGCTGAGTTTACAGACATGTGCCACTGCACTTGCTTTTTAATTTTCAAAGTTACTTCTGCCGGTGGCACATGCTTGTAATCCCAGCACTCTGGAAAGCTGAGGCAGAGGATACATGGTGGACTACATAGTGACACTGTCTCAAAAAAAAAAAAAATTATGTATTTTTCCTTGAACACAGTTTTACCTGTAAGACCCACCTTATCCCCAAATTAAGAAAAAGCAATGAAGAAAGGTCCCCTGTGCCATGGCTCTGGAGCAGGGCACTGACGGTGGGAAAACACTGGCCGCACATCCAAAACTACTCATCTTGGTATTTTAAAAACATGTTTACGGATACCTCTGCCTTCTCACAAGCAAAGCTTTCAGTAACCACATTAATACTTTCTCACCTAACAGTGAACCAAAGGAACACATTATAGGGAGGCATGTCAGACAAACAGCTTCTACACAAGAAGTTTGGGCTTCCTGTTAGTTGATGCTTATAGTTTTGTTTTAATGTCATCAAAAATATCCAGTAAACATCCATAGATAGAATTTAATATGTCAAGTCTTTGGGGAATGACATGAAAGAAGCTTCTCACAAAGCAACTGTTTCAGCTAAGTATGCTGGTGCAGGGCTGTAATCCCAGGACTGTGGGAGGCTGAGGCAGGAGGATCGCAAACTTGAGCCCCACCTCTGTCTCAAAATAAAAAATTTAAAACAGGGATGGGGATGTAACTCAGTTGGAAGGCCTTGGGTTCAATTACCAGGACTACAAAACAAAACAGACAAAAAACAAATCAATTGTTTCAATATATATTCATATATAATTTACGATATAATAATCTCTCCAGTGTATAAAAGAGATTGAAGTTTCTCTCTAACCAGTGGTTTTTACAATATTAGAGGGTAAAGGAAGAAAAAAAGGGTCACTTCACTTTGCCTCAAGGACTCATGGAAAAGACCACCACATTTTAAAAACATTAACTTAAATTGCCCTTGGTCAGTGGTACAGATTAAAGCACTTTGGTCACTTCCTTTCCATATCTCAGTACAGTGGTACCTTGGTTTACGAACTTGATTCCTCCCACATTTCCATTAACAAACCAAATTGAACGAGAACCGAATGAAATTCAACAGTTAGATTCAATGCTGAACGGAAGAAAATTTGGTTTGCAACCAGAAGCATGGAAAGAAGTTCATGAACCGAGGTACCACTATTTAAATTTTAATGTCAGTGGTACAGTGCTAATGAGAAATTGTTTTAAGTCAAGTTTATAAATGAACTTTATTTAATGGAGAAAATACACACAACGAAAGAGCACAAAAGGGCCTCACTGGAGGTGAGGTTGAGAATTTCTGAGGATTTATTTCACAGTAACCCTGCTTTAGCGCTTTTAGCCAAACATGCCAGCATCCTAAATCAATCAATTCAATAACAGAGATGTTATTTTTGAGTAAACACCAAAATAATCCTTAGATGGCAATAATGAGCTAAGAGAAAACCACCTTTGTTTATGTTTCCCTTTTTACTTCTCTTTCAATAGAAGCTTTAAGGCCATCAGCTCAGGCAGCCCAGGATGAGACTGCCCACATCCTCACTGTGCTCGTAGACAGCAGGAGAGACGGAGGCATGTTTGCGGGTAGCACTAGATACAGCAGCAGGGGCGGAGTCTGACCACAGACTGGTAAGCTGCTGAGCTGGCTGTCCTTTCAACCAGACCTCGGCTTATCTTTTTCCTCTACTTCTCTGAGTATATTCAGCCTTGAGGAGACTTCCTGTCCACTTCCACTTCTCTCTCTCACATTCGGATGGAATTGAACGAGTCCTATCTTTCAATCATTTACATCAACACTGGTTCTAACATGTTGCTCTGCTACAAAGCTATCACCCCAGTCACAGTTTTAACTCAGTCCAGAGGGAACAACATATAATATATGGAAACCAGAAGAAACTTACACAGGGTGGGGGCAGCGTGAGTGAAACGCAGAAAACAAAGACTCTCTTGATATTATAGCAGAAAATTGGCCTGAGACTGGATGTCAGAATCACTATCAATACAGATGATCAAAAGTCATCTACAAATCATAAGAAAAAGTTGCCCAAATATGTGTAATTCAAAAAATAGATTTGTCACTAGGTATGGGGGCACACATCTGTAATCCCAGCTCTTGGGAGGCTGAGGCAGAAGGATCACTGTGAGCATGAGGCCAGCTTGGGCTACATAGTGAATTCAAGGCCAGCCTGAACTACATAGCAAGACCTTGTCTCATTAAAAAAAAAAAAATTGACATTTTATTAGCAAGATGCAATTTTATCCATATTTTCTGTCTAAAGTTAATACAGATGTAGAACTTTTTAAGAGCCTATTCTTGTCTTTTAAGAATAATAGCTACCTATGTATGAATACCCAAGGACACTGAACACTCAGGAGAGGCATTCATCAGACGACAGTCAATATTCTGTAGTGTCCTTCATTTACACTGTCTGTTCTATGCCTGTTCGCTGTCTGAAGGTGGGCTGAAGACAGCAAAGACCACATATCTATTAACCGATTCATTCGGTCAAGGCAGAAAGAAGAGCAAGTTATGAACCTAACATAGAGCGGAGCCGACAGGTCTGACAGGCAGCTGGGACAGACAGGGTGGGCAGAAACAAACAACAGTAGGGACTAGGGAAGGCTCCAGGGGGAAGGGAGAGAAACGGCAGGGCCTCACTGGCTCTTTAGTATGTGTGATGTGGGAGCTGCTGGAGAGTTAAGCAGAATGGACACGTCTTTAAGGGGCTCTGACTGCCTTGTTCCTACTGCACAGTTCTCACCTGGATATTCATCTCTTTGGGGTTCTGTCTCCACCATCAGAAGCTTTTCTTCCCTCTCCAACTGGGCTATCAGGTCTGGTTTGAAGGGCTGATGTGCTGTTAAAAAAAAAAAAGCAAAGCAAAATAAGCCTGATAACGTCCACTTTGTCAAAACTAGCTAATCAGGTACACACAGCCAAGTATGGTGTTCTGTGACATCCCCTCCGCTGTTACCCCACTCAGTGTGAGAAACCAACCTCATGGCTTTCTGATTAATCTTTCCTTCCTGTGTTTCTTAAGATAAACAGATACACATTTACTTATTTTCTGTTCTTTCTTACCCAAATTGTAGTGTACTATTAATGCTTTTTCACACTTGGCTGTATTTAGAGAGAATTCCCAGAAATGGATCTCTGAGGAAGGATAAATACATAGCTTTGTTAGGTAGTGACCCATTCCCCTCCCTGTGGGTCGCATCATTTCACATTTTTATTTTCGGTACTGCGGATCAAACTCGGGTCCTTGCGCTTGCCCAACAGGTGGCGAAACCACTGAGCTAAATCCCTGGCCTCCACATTTTTATTTTCAATGTGTGAGAATACTTTATTCTATATGGTCTGCCAAAAAAGTAGTGTGAAGTTCTGAACTTTTGTCAATTTCATGAGTAAAAAATGATATATCAGTATAATTGTAATATTTCTCTTATTTTGAATTAAACTGAACATCTATTCACTCGTATAAAGATTTGTATGGGTATCTGTGTATTCATGTACCTATAAGTATATGTGTATGAGTAAATACACATACATGTGTACACACACACTTCTGAGTTTTATCCTCTGAATCCAAGAAACCAAGATACCATAGTGGCAATGACCATAGCATCCAGATCTTGTTGTTAAATCACTGCCCAATAAAAGACATGGATGATTTCAGAGCTGGGGCAAAGTAAAAGGTGAGCGCAGACCACTGTGCTGTAGACTGCTCAAAACACTGTGAGGGCACGTCACACAGGCATAGAAGCCAGCTTGAAAGAACCAGATTGAAACAACTCTGACTTTAAATAATTAACTCCCCAAAGAGAGGATAACTGGAAGTTTCAGGTTTGGACCATTCCTGGACCTGCCCATGGGCTTCCTCCCTTGGAGGGGTTCAATCTGTCTCCTTTCCCTGTAATACACCAGACTTGTGAAGATAATGCCCTTTGGTGAGTTCTGAGTCCCTCCAGGGAATTTTCATGCCTCAGAGTGGTCCTGGGGACCTCCAAACTTGAGTTTCTTTGTTTGTTTTGGTACTGGGGATTGAACTCAGGACCTTGTGCTTTCGAGACAGGCGGCAGAACCACTGAGTTAAATCCCTGGCCCAAACTTCAGTTAGTGTCAGAAGTGAGGGAGGTCTTAGGGACTCCTGAACTCTGCATATACTGAAATACTGAAGTATTTTGAGAAAAAGGACTATAGTATATGTAAATTACCCTCAAAGGTTCAGAAAAAAATATTGTAAGTATACATATGCTTTTGCTTATACATATATGGGAGAGAGAGCCAATGGGGTACAATGTTACTGTAAGTGAATCTAGATAAACCCACATAGGTACTCTTGCTCTTTTATTTTTATAAATTTTCTACAAATTTGAAGTTATTTACAAATATATTGTTAAAGAAAAAATAGTAATATTTCCCATAAATCAAATTAATAAACAGTTATTGGTGCCCAAATAAACAACAAAACAAAACTAGAGCAACTAACTGAGCTGATTTCATGACAAACCAATGGAGCAGGGCCCTAATTTGCCCATTTACAGCTCAAAAGACGGACTCTGGCCTGGAAAGAACAATCAGAGGCCTCCTGTCTGTGCTGCACAGGGAACCCAGGCCCTCCAGGCACCCAAGCTCAGAGTATGATTTCAAGAGTCCCAGAACTTCAAACAGCTGAGCCCAGAGAGACACCCAGGAGGCACCCATGGGTCACGCAGGGAGCCAGCCTCACCCACAGAGAGCAGGTTCCTGAAGTTCTCCAGCATCACGTCACGGTACAGCTTCCTCTGGGCAGAGTCCAGCAGCCCCAGCTCCTCCTCGCTGAAGACCACAGCCACGTCCTTGAAGGTCACCATCTCCTACCACATCAAACATATACTGACTGTTTATGGAACAGGATGAAGGCTGAGAAAGCACAAAGTGAGGCAAGTTACTCTGGATTCTCAGGGACTCGGATCAAATTCAAGTAGGTCTCTCTGGTTTGCCTTTTATACTGCTGATTCGAGCCACCAAAGGGACTGCAGGAGAAGAAATCCTTGCATTTGCTGCCTTTTGTTGGCACTCTTAAAGGTACACCCCTGGAACTCTGTTGCAGCCTGGGCTGCTGATATCCAGTGCCTGACTGCCTGTGTTCACATCCAGATGCTCTGCTCTGCGCTAGCAGATCTTGTGATCGTGGAGAGGTTTCTTCTTCTCTCATTTATATGCTGAAACCTGGGCCACAGAGTCTCAGTAATGAAACTAGTAGCTGTATGTAAAGCATCCAGGAACAGTACCTGTCACATGGTAAGTATCCAATAAATGTCAGCTATCAGTATTAACCTCATTATCATTATTTTTATACCATTTTAGGGCTACATAGTAATTCACGGAATTGATCTAAAATATAATGAGTTGATTCAATTAATACATACTTACTTTTAGATTACCTATTATAAAAAATGGTGCAAAAAAATATCCTTTTACATACTTCTTAGTCCTGGAATTTCTGTTGATTAGCTCTTCAAACTAAATACCAGAAAGTAGAAATGACCATGTTGAAGAATAATGACTTTTAACATTTTGAAATCATATTGGCAACTGGAAAAACCTTTCTCCAAGAAAAGGTTTTTCAAACTTAGTCTTTCTCCAAGAAAATATTAATCCTATATTGGTCCAACACTAAATATAAACTTTGTACTTAAACAAATGAACAAAAACCCTGATAATTTCAGAAGTAAATTTGGAAAGTAACAACTAGTTATTTTTAAAATTTTAAATATTCTCACAAAGTTGAATAGTAATAAAGATGACTCTCCATACATTTGCTGTTTATCTCTATTTCTTATTTTATAATAATATTCATTGGGGGCACAAAAGTATATCCAAGTACAATGGAAATATTTTTCCTTCTTTTTTAAAAATTAAGCTTATTAGTACAATTTAGATATACATAATGATCACATTCATCACAGGGAATTTGTACCTGGACATGGTATATCTTGATTCCTCTCCCCTCCCTTCAACCCCTCTTCCCCTCCTTATTTACAAAGCTCTATTTCTAGTGTATCCTCCTTTTCTCATTTTTTTCTTTTCCATTCCTTCTTTTCCCCCTCCTCCCTCCCTAGTTCCCCTTTCCTTTTGAACAATTTCTTCCTATTTCACAATATCTATTATACATTTTGGTCCTTACACTTTCAGTTTCTCACATCAGAGAGACAATGCAATGGAGTACTACTCAGCCATAAAGAAGGATAAACTTGAGACATTTCTAAGTCAATGGATGCATCTTGAAAACATATTTTTCCTTCTATGTGGCTGTTTGTCTTATAACTTTTTGCTGCAGGGAAATTAAACATTTTTACATGGAGACCTGTCCAACACTGCACTTGTCCTGGCTGGCTGGAATTCCGAGTATCCCAACCTCAGCTCTGAATGAACTCTGGTTTGGTTTGCTCAGCAGTTTTGTCTCTTTCCCCTAGGAGTCTGCCTGACTATGCTGACCAGAAGGCAAAGGCTCTGAAGCTGGCTGGACCCTTGTCTCTGAGAACCTGAACCTCTTATCTTCATGGGAATGGTGTGAATGCTCTCAAGGTCCCATTCAGTTGCTTGGAGATACGAAAAAGGGACAGCTAAAAACTCCCTATCAGTCCTATAGTAGGACATAAAATTTCCTGAATCAATCACCTATATTAGTTTTTTCACCTGAATTAGTTAATGAAATAAATTAATTCATGAATAATGAAGCATACCAAGACACACAAACATAGAGAACACACACAGAAAGATTCAGATATTGGGATGAAACTATCTAACTCTTATGTGAAAAATATTTTTTTCAAGTTTAGCTTCAGTAAGATTTTGTTACACAATACTGTATTTTAGGTATTCTTCTTAAAATGATCCAAAGGCATCACTGGGAGAGGAGTGTTTGAGTCTCTAGAACATTAAAGACAAAAAAAATAACAGAAATAGTATTGGATAATAACGTTATTTGAAGTAAGAAAAAATTAATTTAAAGTTATATCTCCTATTGCAAATATATTTATGAAAGCATATTTTAAAATAACTATGAAAAAACCAAGTGATTTGTAAGCAAAATAACATGAGATTTTAAAATTTCTATTCTCTTTTACACTATTATTTGTGAAACAAAAAAGTCAAAAACTAAGAAGCCAGGTGTGGTAGTGCACTCCTGTTAATCCCAGCACAGGGGAGGCTGAGGCAAGAGGGTCACGGTTGAGAGCCATTCTACATAATGTTGGGGACAAATCATTTCACAAGTTATGCTTAGGGCTGTCAGAGGCCTAGTCTTCTTGCCTGCGGGCGGGCTCTGGCACGTGGAAACATAACTGTTTTGCCTCCAGCCACAGCTGAGGCCTCAATGGTCCCGTGATGCTGTGGGGCTCAAGGGCAAGATTCCATCAGCTGGAAGACATCCTGGTTCTCTAAGAACCAAGTAGTAATTCAAAATGAGAAAGGTTTCACCTGGGGAAGAGCAAATTACCTACAGCTTAACTCATCCCGCCTACTGCTGTAAGAACGCTTTGCTCATCTCACTGTCCTAATCAACTTGAGCTCCTCACCGACCTAAGACCCTCAGCAACCTAAGATCCTCATCCTCATAGGATCACCGCCACCCACGAGCCATCTGATACTCCCTCCGATTATAAGATCCTCGTCAATTTAGGATTACCACCACCCTCTGAGTCAGCTGATATTCCCTAGGAACCCAATAAACAGCGGCTAGCTCAGAGTCTGTCTCAGCCGCTCTGAGGTGTGACCTTCTAGCCCCTCACATACTCAGAAATTACGAAAGTCTCTATTGTCCTTTTTTCTTTCACCCTCAACGTCCCCCTTTCTAGGCAGTCGGTGGATTGATTGCCCTCCCACAGATCACCAGCCCGGGCTACATAATGAGCTCAAGACTAGCCTGAACAACATAGTGTGACCCTGTCTCAAACAAACGGGCTGGGGATTTAGCTCAGTGGTTTCGCTGCCTGCTGCACAAGCGCAAGGACCCGAGTTCAATCCCTGGTACCAAAAACAAAAAAATCAAACAAACAAAAAACTAAAGAAAAAAATTAAAGGACACAAACAGAAGCCAAGAGCCTGACGGTAAACAGTGTCAACAGAATGTCACCATTGTTAATTTTGGCTAGGAATGGAGAGGGGTGGGGGATGAGTCTGCCCTCTGAGAAATGAGATATAAATGGCAGAAATGAAAATGAACTTACCTGGACTTCGGGCATTTTCTCCTCCTTTTTCTAGGGAAAAGCAGAGACCTGAGAAGGCAGAACAGGGTAACAGGAAAGAAGCCATGAGAGAAAGGGAAATGTACCCTTGTGCATATAGGGAAAAGGTGTCTGTCTGTTCCCTGCTCGAAGATGCAGCCACACACATCTGCCAAGCAGTGAGCAGGGTGGGCTGGCTTCCAGCTACCACTTGGCCACCAACAGCCTGCACAGCTGTACCCAGCGTGTCTCCCCGGGTGTTCACTCTGATGCCACGAAACCTGGGAAAGATGTGGCAGTGAAGTGCACGGGTTAAAAGTGGAGTCCAGGTACAAAACACCGGTGTTCAGAACCTGGCGCTGCTCTCTACTTGCTGAGTAACCACAGTTAAATCCATTATCCTCCCCAGTGATTCAATTCTGTCATCTGCAAAACGGGGATCATGACGGTGCCAACGTTACAGGACTGCTGTTAGGAAGACTGATAGTGCCAACATTATAGGATTGTTGTTAGGACTGCATGTGAGAAAGGTGGAAAGCTATCATAAAACACCAACATTCTCTATTTCCTTGCAGCTGCAGAGAAGTAGACACTATTCTGCATCATAAAACTGCCCTTGTGAGTGTATTTTGTGAGACATCTGGATGCAGTGATTCTTGCTCTGTCCAGGGAAAGTCACCCTTCACCCAAATGGTTGGTTAATATTCTTCCTGAAGCCAGAGGAGGTTCACAGCTACAACAAATATATCCCACATGGATACAACAAAAAAAGATGAAATCTGTTAGGCTTTTTTTTTTTGCAGTGCTGAGGATGGAACCCAGGGCCTGAGTATGCTAGGGGAGGTGCTCTACCACTGAGCTACACTCCCCCAGCCTGCTACTACCGTATAAACCCACCCAGGGTACTGGGGATCAAACTCAGGACTTTGCACTTGCAGCGCAGGTGCGGTGCCACTGAGCTAAATCCCCAGCCCTACTCCCATATATTTCTGATGTTAAAAGATGCGACCTTCTGCTTCACTTTGCTCGCACTCATGATAACACCAACCCACAGGGTTGTTTATGGGCTGAAGCGTGCTCACGTGTGTGAAGCCACTCAGCGCTGACCCTTGGAAGGATCTGGAAATCAGAAGTTTAATTTTGCGAGTTCTTCCTCAAGGTTTGTTACTTTATGAATGTTCTGGCGTAATTTCAAGGCCACCGGTGGAAGAGAAAGAAAGAAAAGAAAAAAAGCTAACTATGAACTGAAGATCAGGCAGAGCCTTTGAGCACCACCTTGGAGAGAGGTCTGCTGCACCCGTACCTCACCTCCTCCAAACTCCCTGCCCAAGGGCCGCTGCTGGGGAATCCATGGAATGTGCGCACAACTTGGTTGAGTAATAGCAGAGGAAGAATGGAGTTTTCTTTCACATATCCCATTTTCCAATCACCTACTAAAAGGGATATAGTTCCTGGATAAATGCCAGAGTGTGCACAGCCTCCTTTGGGGGAACAGGGAAAAGGCCACAGCCCAGGTTTGATGAGGAAGAGGGATGCAGGGTCTCAATGGGAAGTGGAGAGCTGATCTGACTCAGAGCTGAACTCTAAGACAGGGGCTCCTCAGAGTGCTTGAAAAGAATGAGAGTTAAAGAATACCTGGAGCAGAAGAGGAAACAGAGAAGATGGTGAGAAGCCAAAAGCCAAAGCACATGCTTTAGAGGAAGTGCCCCACTTAATCCTCACTGGGACAGTGGTAAGTACCTTCCTTCACAGATGAGAATACCAAGACATGAAGATTTTAAGTTATTTGCTCATAATTATCCACTTAGCTAGCAAAACAGCCAGGATAATTAGCCCGGACTCTGCTCTCAGTTTCTAGGACTGTGGCTCTCAGTATGCGAGGTCACTGGCATCCCCTGAGTTTTAAAAAATAGTATCAATGCCCAGAGTCCCATGGTGGATCTATAAATCAGGACCTATCAAAGCCTTTTTATGAAATCCCTACAGGTGACCAGAGTTTGCAGAGAAGTTGTAAACTACAGACTACAGGATGAATACAGGCAGTTTGCAAGTTGAGCCCATACAATTAACAGCCTTTAAAGGAACTGTCATGGAACCACAGCTAGGAACAAAGCAGCAGGGCCCGGGATCCAAGCCTCCTGATTCCCAGCTCCCTGTCTCTATTGTAAGATGAGCTGTCGCTAGGAGGAAAGAGTAGCAGGTGTGCTGTGGATGCCTTTGCAAGCACACACTCAGCATGAAGAAGGCTTCCAGTCAAAACCTGCCTCATCAGCTTTTCCAAGCAGGGCCTCACTAACCCCCCGCCCCAGGGACTCAGAATTAAAAAGACAGGCTGGGACTGCAGCTTGCCTAGCACCTGCGAGGCCTTGGGTTCTAGTAATGCAAACCACAGAACCATTAAAAATAAAAGGCAATTCTTGTTTCATAAGCATTTAAACAATGGTCAACCTACATATTGTTCTTGGTTCTTTTCCTATTAGATACAGTTAATATCTGACTATGTTCCTTCTTGGTTAAAACATGTCATGGCTGCCTAGTGCCGCATCGGATCAAAGCAGCTGAGCTCTAACTGTGTGGCGCTCCCATTTCTCTGTACTGTTGCTAAGCACAATACAAATCACAGGACCCAGGACTGGGTTGACTCAACTGTGTTAAAATGCTGCTAACTGAACAGCATTTCAAGTACCACATGTACTGCTGTATCACGTATTTTAATTTTTTATTGTCAGTACATATTCATCACAAAAGAACAGAAAAACAGGGTTTGTCATACTTCTGAGGCATAATGGTGATGACATATCGAATTAGATGCCAAAGCCTTTGCTTATTATGCAGTGACAACATAGCCACACTGAAAGAATACGTGTCAACACTGTCAGCACTCATCCCAGTAACTCAGAATAAAGCAATACTAGGGAAAACTAGAAAAATTTCAGATGAAATGTTTCATCAGAGCGGAATTTTTTCACAAAAGCCAATAATGAAAATGAGGCTGCAACCAAAGCAAGATTTGGTTATTCAGATATTCAGCTTCTATTTCTCACCCAAGCAAAGAAAATTATTTACCAGTGGAGTTGATTAGATCTTGTTTGATTGCGGCAGGCAAGGAAATGTGTCCAGAAAAAAATAATTTTGTTTAAAATTATGGGACTTTGGGCAAGAATAGTTGCTGTAAGAGTTGATGACAATGGAAACAGCACTATAATCCATTAAAATACAAGAGAAAAGATTTTGCTGAATTATATTTGGCTCTTGCTGATTCCACAGATGTTATTGAGGTTGCTCAGTTGTTGTTTATTCTAGGAATCAATGCCAAGTTTGAAGTGCCTGAAAATGAGGCTCTAGGAATAGTCTGTAAGAAGAACCAAAGATGAAACATTTCCAAGGGAGTTGAAAAGAATACTAATTCAGTATAAACCCAAGCAGCATAATCAAACTAAATCTGCTAATGTGTGAAAAATGATAATGGTAAAAATATGTTGGAGCAGAAAATGGCCAAATGGACAGATTTATAAGGCTTCTTGGGAAGTGCATTTAAAGCCTATTGTTCACTGTGTTATTTATTCATCAGCAGCAATCTTGCTGGCAATATTTTAATCATGTGTGATTGACCCAGCGGTGTTGGTCAACAGTGAACTCCATTCACTCTCACGGACTTAACAATCATCAGTTTCATGAATTTTGTCAGAAATAGAAGAATTCTGGCTTGCCAATCATGCAAGAGTTCAATAGCCTGAGAAACAATAAAATTTATTGTGGTTTCCCCCACTCAGGGATATGACTGAAATGCTTCTGAAGATGTGTCCTCAATCATTGTTATTGGATATTGGATGGCTTTGGAAATTAGCTTTAGCTACAGATTTTATAATGTTTTTTAATGAATTCACCCTAAACACAGAAGGCAAAACAGCCCTGGTTTGTGAAGATCGTAAAGTCATTTCAAAGACAACTAATGTTTAAATCTCAGGCAATGCCAAACTACTTTATAAATTTCCAGTGCTGTCAGAAACTAAAACAAGCGGGATCTCCATTCCCACATAAACTGGCATCTATACATTTTCTGAGCTTAAACTTCACAAATATAGCAGTGTTTTCAGATCCCGCTGCAAGTGCACAGATTCTCCATATTTCAAAACCCGATCCAATGCCCAATTGCAGCACTTCCTTCTGACCTTCCATTGGAAGTGATTACTGTGAAATGTAATGACACATTAAAAGGGAAATATCAAAAGAACCTACAAGAATTCTATAAGTGGCTTCTGCATTAGTTCCTATTGCGGCTGTATACAAATTACGACAAATTTTCTGGTGTAAGAACATATAATTGTCCTTGTTTCTTTATGGGGGGCAGGAGTTCAAAACCAGGGACAAAGTCAAGGTGTCAGAAGGCCTGTTCCTTTTGTAAGGGAAGGGGCAGATAGACAGGCAGGGAAATAACAGGCTAAAGGCCTCAGTAAGCAGTCTGGCAAATCCTGACTGGAAAGAGTTAAACCCTTGCTTGAGGGAGCAATTAAGAGGAGAAGCTGATAAGCAGAGTGGCTCTGTTAGGCGCCCCAACTGAAGTTAGTTGTCCCTGCTCACCATGGGACAAAGGTGGGGACTACATAACAGAAAACTCACTTAGTATATAAAACAGATACTCGAGCCTGGATATGTGTTTACCTTTACTGAATTGCTAACTTGACCTCATAAGTAAGGTCATTTTTTTCTTTTTTTAACAAACCCATAAATTTTAGTTTTTAGATAAGACTGACAGGACAAAAACAAGAGATGGTACCAAATTAAGGGGCTTATGGCCTGAAAACAGCCAATCAGGTTGTGAGAAGTTGGGGGGGGGGGTTGTCACTTGATAAAAGCAGCTAGGAACAAAGGGCCCTCAGGTCCTCCATCTTTCCAGAGGCCCCTATACTCTGATTTGCCAAGGTAGCTATCTACCATCTCCTTTTTCCCTCCCTTCCAATAAAGTCTCCAATAAAATGTCTTCCTTTCCTTAATCTCTGTATCTTTGATCCTTTACTGGTATGGAGTTTCAAATCCCGGTGAGCTACACATCCCCGGAATCCCACAGACACAACACTTCCAAGGAAGAATCCATTTGCCTGCCATTACCAACATCTAGAGGCTACGGAATTCCTTAGCTTATGGCTGCATCACTCCAATCTCTGATTCCATCACTACATCACTCCTAACTTCAGTCCTCCTGCTTTTCTCTTACAAGGACCCACTATTCAGCCCACCACATCTACTTATTAGTATGCACAACTAAAATCATTTGCCTATGGACTGATACTAGTATTTGGAAGTACTCATTTGTTTTAAAGTCATTTTCAAAGATAAACACATATAATTTCATTACATATCAGCTAGTAACAGGTGAACATTTGCAGTCAATTTTGATGATAGAGAATAGTAACCTTAAACTTCAATTAAGTGAAATTTTATCCCCCCAACAAGAATTCCACTGTTCTCATTAATATATAGAATACAAAAAATTGTATTCAATCATTAGTGCTTCAATTTTGTCAATAAAAAGCTTCTCTCAAGTTATAAAAGTACCTAAATAATAATATTTTTGCCAATGGAATGTAAAAGCTGAAATATAATCAGGGCATGTTTTATTTTGCTGTACCAGGGATCAAATCAGGGCCTTGTGCATGGTAGGCACATTCTCTGCCACTGATCTACATTCCCACTCCTTTTTATTTTGAGATAGGGCCTTGCTGAGTTGCCCGAACTGGCCTTAAACTTGTGGCCCTCCTGCCTCATCCTCTGAGTATCTGGGATTATAGGTGTGCACCACTGCACCCAACACAATTTGGACTCTTAAGAGAAAATCTTTACTGACTCCTGAACAAAATCAAACCCACAGGTAGTTCTTTGATACAAACAAACAAACAAAATTAAACTTCTAGCC